GGCTGGCGGCCGTCAAGCTCGAGGCGGAGATCGATCAGCCGGAGCTGGCGCGCAAGCTGCTGGACGACGCGCGGGACAAAGGCGCCCACCGACCGCGTCTGGATGAAGAGCGTCGTGTTCGAGCGCGTGCTCGGCCACACGGACGCCGCGCTGGACCTCGTCCAGCAGGCGCTGCAGTACTTCCCCGCGGCGGCCAAGCTCTGGATGCTCAAGGGCCAGATCTACGAGGACCTCGACAAGCTCGGCCAGGCGCGCGAGGCGTACAGCACGGGCGTCAAGGCCGTGCCGGCGTCGGTGCCGCTCTGGCTCCTGTACGCGCGGCTCGAGGAGCGCGCCGGCCTCGTGGTCAAGGCGCGCTCCGTGCTGGACCGCGCGCGCCTCGCCGTGCCCCGGTCGCCGGCGCTCTGGTGCGAGTCGGTGCGCGTCGAGCGCCGCGCCGGCAACGTCAACCAGGCCAAGTCGCTCATGGCCAAGGCGCTGCAGGAGGTGCCCAAGAGCGGCCTGCTGTGGAGCGAGCAGATCTGGCACCTCGAGCCGCGCACGCAGCGCAAGCCGCGCAGCCTCGAGGCCATCAAAAAGGTCGACAACGACCCCATCCTCTTCGTCGCCGTGGCGCGCCTGTTCTGGGGCGAGCGCAAGCTGGAGAAGGCGCAGAACTGGTTCGAGAAGGCGCTGGTGCTGGACAGCAACAACGGCGACACGTGGGCTTGGTACTACAAGTTCCTCCTCCAGCATGGCACAGACGTGAGTGAATCCCTCGGGCTGGGCATTGGACGAACACTGGTGCACGAGGCTAACATTTACATGTTTCGCAGGAGAAACGGGGCGAGGTCATCACCAAGTGTGTGCTCGTCGAGCCGAGACACGGCGAATACTGGCAGGCGATTGCGAAGCGCCCAGCCAACGCGAGAAAGGGAACCGAGGAGATCCTCAACCTGGTGGCCAACAGTCTAGAAAGGTAAAGACGGGACGTCAAACATGTATAAGACAGGGAAGCAGTGTACTATTGGAATTGCAGCGGATACATGATTATATTCAACACTTCACAGACAGCCCGAGGGCAGGGTCAATGGATCATTTCCAGGGTTGGATGGGATTGGTGGTGGTCATCAATTACTATGTCATGTCGCCGCGCCCTTCCATGTTGTGTGAACAGAAGTGAGCAAAAAGGGGAAAAAAAAATCAGAAGAGACGGCGTCCCTGTGGCGACCACGCCATCCGTGGTCTCCATGTCATAGTCCTACAGCAGAATCGGTGTAACGCCTTGCCACGTACTTTCCCCCAGGGTCGAACGGTGTGAAACGATGGAACGGCGAGCTCAGGGCTTGTTGCCGCTGCTGAACCAGGAGGAGGCGGCCTTCTTGACCTCGGAGGCCTTGTTCTCGACCTTGTGGTCGAACTCGTTGATGCTCTTGAGCGTCTCGGCCTTGGCGTCCTTGGCGAAAGCCTCAGCGTTGCTCTTCGCGATGCCGAACTGCTTGTCGGCTTCGGCGGCCTGGGACGTTTGTCAGTCAGGACTCTGGTCTCCGATGGGACGGTGGTAGTCAAAACAAGAAGGAAAAGAGGGAGAGAGAGAGAAAGGGGCAAGAAGGCTTACGGCGTGGTCAATCTTGGCACCAGTGCGGGCGGCGGCATCGCCCAGAGTGCCCTGGGCGCCAACATCGCGACCGGGAAGGTGGGACTTGATGCTAGCAGCGGCCCTGTGAGCGTCGGCTGCAAGAAGGGGAGGTCACGGTCAGCCAGCGGAACGGTGTCGGGACGGGGGAACGAATGCGCTTACCCTCAGCCTTCTTCTCGGCGACCTTGGGGCTTCCACCAGCAGCGAAGAGGTAGTAGCCGATACCGCCGGCGGCAGTGAGGCCGATGGCGAGGGGGGCCTTGGACTTGGACATGGTGATGGATGGTCGGTGGGTGATGGGGAGGCGTGGAGTGTGTGTGTGCGTGTGTGTGTGTGTGTGTGTGTGTCGGTAGGAGCTGTGATCGTCAAGGTGCAGCGGATGGATTGATTGGTGAGTGTGAGAGAAGTGAGGGAGGGAAGGACATAGGTGAGGCAGGCGGATGGGAAAGTACTTATTGCTCCCGGCTGTGGCTACGACTACGACATCACGTCTTGCAACAAGTCACTTCTCTCTTCTAGCCGCCTCCCTCCTGGGCCCAGCCTCTCTCTCTGCCTCTCTCTCTCTGTCACGCAAGGCCTGACGCTGACGGCCAGCTCGGGACGCCCATTCGCCCAGATCGGAGCCATGTCTCCAATTCCTGGCAGCTTCCCCCCTCTCCTCTCCGCTCTGGGCGCGTCTTCTGGTGCAAGAGTGATCGAGCTGTTGGATCATGATACATGACGTAGTGCCGGCCAATGCGGGGACCCGCCGGTCCTGCCCTGCCTCTGTAGGTACGTGCCTAGGTACGTGCAGGTACGGTACCAGCTCTGTTTCTTGGCAAGCGCCAGACACAGGTCTTGAATGCAGGCAAGCACGGGCCTGCTTCTTCACGTACCCATCTTAGGTAGGTACCTACCTTGCCTTGAAGGTAGAATGGCAGGCAAGACACGCATACCATGTCAGAGGTCCAGAGGTAAGATCAAGTAAAGCAAACTCGCCAAGACTCGCACCCAATGTAAGGAGACTTGCCGATCCGGAATGCAAATGCCATTCGACTCCAGTCCCACCGTCAAGCTCGAGCATCACCCCCCTGTCCCTTCTGACCCGCAGGCAGATAGATGGTGGAGAGGGGGCCCCATCACTACTTGTACCCACGAGAAGCCATTTGCGTCATCGAACACAGCACAGCACAGCTAGACCTGCCTGCATTGGGGTCTGGATCTGGATCTTCTCAGCCGCGCACGGCACACCCGCGTCGCAGCTATGGAGATGGAGGACAGTGTCTTCGCAGCCACCACCCTTCCTCCGCTGGTCTGACCAGCCTGTTGCTGCCAATCAATCTCACCCTGCGCCCTAGAACTTTCAATTCTTCGAATCCCTGATTCCCCCCCTCCCCCGCCTCAGGTCTGGTTGGGTGCAACATTGGTTGGGTGCAACATTGACAACCAGGAGCTAAGCCTCAAGCCCCCTCCCTGATGCCACAGTCGAACGGCCTTCACGTCAAACCATCGTGACCCGCCTGCCCTACTCTGCAGAAGCTCTCTCTTCGCTCACCTCTCCATCATCCATCCATTCGCCCTGCATCACAAATCTCGCTAGACATCACGACACTCGCCCGCTTCATCTCTGGAGGCGGCGAAGCAAGCCTGTCGACTCGGGCAACCGCCATGCCAAGCAACGAGACGTAGCCATGCCGAACCTGTCACTGCACACGTCTCGTCGGGTCCAGACTCTGAAAGACAGCGACTATGATCATGAAATAGGCCTCGTCGACCAGGAATCACCGCCGACGACTCGCTCAAGGAGCAACACGGCCCTGACAGTCGATGAGGACCAATCTTCGTTCCAGGCGTCGTCCCAGCGCGTGCGGAGCGTCGAGGGAGAGCAGAGCCCACACGATAGACAGCGCAGTGCCGAGACGACCGGGCGATCATCTCTCGACATCCGACAGGGAGCCGACGACACACAGTCAGAACAGGGACAAGATGAAAGTCCCATCGGTGCTCGGGACACGGCGCAAACGGGCCCATCAATCGAGGTAGAAGGTTGTGTACATCCAGCCACTTGCTCCTCATCTCCCCCGTCTCGGTAGGCGTGCTAACACATTGTTGCCAAAAAAAGGTCCTACGCCGCTCGAACCCCCGACACTGGCGGCCCATGGCGACACGGCGCGACCAAAGTCGAAGCAGCGCAAAGAGCCCGAATCCCAGATTGATATCCTGTGGGAGAATGAGAGGGGCTGCTTCGTCTGCGGCGCGGCTCTCTTCTCGGGTGCTGCCCTCGGCAACCTTGATCCGTCGCCCTGGACGAACCAGTTCCAGAAGACGAGCCCGACCAACATCAGGACGGCGACGGTCCCTGATCCGAGCTGGGAATGGGCGTGGCCGGAATGGCGCATCAACCGTGAAGAGGGCGTGGCCATGGACGAGTTTGGGTGGGAGTATTCGTTCATGTTTGCCCAAAAGTTCTCGTGGCATGGCCCCAAGTGGTGGAACTCGTTCGTCAGGAGGCGGGCCTGGATCCGCAAACGCGTCAAGAAGTGCAGCGACGACCTGGCCTCGGATCCTCACATGCTCAACACGGACTACTTCAACGTCATGCCCGCAGAGCACCATCGGCCGCATTCGTCGCACGGGGCCAGTCGGCAGGGGAGCAGGGCGAGCACGCATAGCAGGGCGAGTGTCCGCAGCAAGGGCAGCATCGGCCGGTTCTCCGCCACGGAGAGCGTCCTGGACGAGAAGCCCGTCATCGAGGACGTGTGGATGCTGATGATGGTGCTCCGCGCGGCGCGCATCGACCGGGAGAAGATCGAGGCCGTGGACAACTATCTCGAGCACGCCAAGGATGACCTCGAGCGGCTCCAGGACGAGATGCACGACATTATGGGCATCTTCGTCTTCCAGGCGTCGAGGCGGATCCTGCTGAGCCGCCTGACTCAGGTGTATGACGAGATGAACAACGTCGACACGGGGGACGCGGCGTTCAAGACGAGACGGAACAACCTCGGCGCCGCCATCAAGCACGCCGACGAGGAGGTCAGACGGTTATCATACTGGAGCGACGTCAAAGGCGTGGCAGAGAACGGCGAATCGAGGGGCGCGGTCGACGGCGACGAGGGATGGAGCGAGGCCTGGGAGGGCGTGGACCAGAGCGGCCCGGCACAACCCAACACGGGCAAGCTTCCTCGAGGCACAACGCCCATCCATGGGGTTTGAGGCGCGGTATACCCATTTCCTAACAATATACGATATGCATACTACGAACACGGCAGAATCGATTCAAACATGGTGCTGTTTGAATATGTGACCATCCCTTTAAAGGACCTCAGGTACAGACGTACTGGGCGCTCCAGATAAAATGGCAGAATTCAGCTTCTGGGCCAGTTGTGTGATATCGCTTGATAGCATTATATCAGATGAGATGCTTCAAGTCGACGGTCGAGCCGGCGGCTCTTGGCTTCAAAGTACCTAAGACCATTCTCGGGCCTAAAGGGGCATCGGGCCTAAAGGGGCATCGAGCCTAAAGGGGCATCAAGGGGCATTATGTAGCTCGCGGTGGAGCAAACGCGCCTGTCCGGACAATTTCCAGCCGCGCCAGCCGCGCCTTATCGCCTATCGCCTAGCGGCGAGGCGCCAAGTCGGTCCCCGGCGCGAAAATTGTCCCTCTCCCCAAGGCCATGGCTATATCGACGCAAGCAGACTCAAGCAGACCGTTCTCAACCGACAGATACAACCGATTGACCAAAGACCACGGGCTACGCATACCCAACCGAAGACACATGCGCCGACCCGATCCCGACGCCGACCCTTACCGCACACCACCAAGAATGAACCGCTCATAGCCAATGTCCCTGGGGATCAAGCAAGCGTGGCGAGCCCGGCCGCTGTCGATCCGCGACGCTGGGAACCCGCTGATTCCCAGGGGTTCTCCGGGTTGCGGTTGCGGTTGCGGGCCGTGGCCGCCGTGGATGCGACGACGCCTCGCGTCGGGGCTTGCTTCTGCTGCTACGGCTGCTGCTGCTATCCCTGATGCGAGAAAGCTCGGTGGTGCGAGAAAGCTCGGTGATGCTCGACATTCCCTGTCGCCGCCTAGGGTCCTCGAGCTGGACGCGGCGCCGCCCATGCGCATCGCTCCAGCGCTCCAGCCCGAGTCGATGCACGATGCCATGAAGAGGCAGTTTCTCGACACGCTGGTATACGACGTCAAGGAGGACGCCAAGACCATCGAGGCCGCCGTCACGACCGGCTCCGTCATGGACAAGGGCAGCGTCGTCTACGCCTCCGTCCGCGAGACGAACGCCAGCCGCCAGCGCCAGCACCGCGCCCTGTGGCAGCAGCTGCGGCTCGACGAGATCCGGAAGGGCAAGGGCAGGGACACGGCCGACTGGCGCAAGGTGCTCACCATTCTGTCGAACAGGGCGCCCAAGGTCGCGCGCACGCTGTCCCAGGCCAGCCGCACGCTCGTCGTCACGCGGCAGGTCGCTGATCGGTTGCTGTACGGGACTGACCAGACCATCTGGGACATCGCCGAGAGGACCGACTGTCGGCTTGACATGGACGAGTCGCCGGCCAGCGAATCCCTACGGCCCCCTGGCAAACGCATCGTTCTGATGGGCTTCGATCACGCCGTCGAGGCGGCCAAGGCCGAGATTGCCTATATTGCCGGACAGGTTGCCGAATCGAGCCCGCCAACGGCGGCGGCGACGACGATGACGACAGCGGCTAGCGGTGTGGTGGAACACCAGACGCTGCCGGCGACAAGCTCGACGTCCATCCAGAAGAACGGGCACAAAAGGAGCAAGCCGCGTCGTTGGACCAGCACAAAACCGCTGGAGAAACCTGGCTTCACTCCCGAGTGGACCATACTCTATAAATTCGAAGACTATCCCCGTCCGTTATACTGGACGCCGGAAACCTTCGAGGCCTACGTCACGGCTCTCGTGCGGGCAAAGATGCCGCACTACACGGCCACTGAGCTATACGGATCTGGCATGAAGGCACGCGAGGCGGTGCTGCACCTCCTCATGGACGTGTTCCAGTCCCGGGAAACCCGATCATCTCTCTCCACGAGTGCCTTCAAGACGGTGCTCAAGTGGATGGGCAACCATGGCGTGGTGTTCCGGCCGCAGGTGCGCGAGCTGTTTGTGCGGATGGAGGCAGCGTCGCTGCCCATGGACGTCGAGGTCTTCAACACATTACTGACGGGCAACATGAGGCTCGACGACCTCCGCAATTTTGGGAGCATCGTCTCCCTCATGGCCCGTCGCGGCTACGTGCCCACGCTCAAGACGTGGTCGCTGTTCCTGGCCATCGTCAAGAACAACGAGGTCGAGCAGCACGTACTCCGCGCCATGAACGAGCGCGGGCTGCTCGACGACCCCCGCGCCAGCCGCATGATCGCGACGCGGTTCATCATGCACGACCTGCAGCAGGCGCGGCGCAGCTGGAGCGGCGTGTCGGCCTTTATCGACTCGCAGAACCAGAAATACGGCTTCGGCTGGATCACGACGGCGTCCTTCAACAATATGCTCAACGAGCTCGGCCGGCAGGGCAAGCTGGCCTCGTGCCGAGACCTGCTCGACAAGGCGCCGCGCTGGCCCTCGGTCAAGGTGGGCACCAAGACGCTCAACACGATGCTGAGCCACGCCCACATCCAGCGGCAGCCCGCCGCGGCCGCGGCCGCGCTCTACCGCTTCTACCAGCACAACGTCGCCCTCGACAGCACGTCGTACCACGAGCTCTTCACCCTCGCCTTTGCCCTGCGCAAGCCCAACACAATGGGCCTCGTGTGGCGCCTCGCCTGCATCCACCGCTGCGAGACGCACGAGATGCGCGTCCGCGTCGCGGCCATCTACGAAGCCTGCCCCTTCCTCCTCGGCCTCCCGGAGACTGAACAACAGACCTTGGCCCAAGGTCGCATCCCCTCCTCCTCCTCCTCTTTGCCGTCGCCATTACCACCACAATCATCACCCTCAAACCAGCCCAAAGCGCAATACGCAAACCACGCCGCCCTGCCCACCTTCCACGAACCCGACATGCTCGCCGCCCTCCTCCCCCCCTCCCACGCCCCATCCACCAGCGACAACAACCTCGCCCACCTCCCCGCCAACACGGGCTCCCGCATAGCCCACCTCTACCGCAAACGCTACTCCCGCGCCAGCGACTGGCACCCCGCCCGGCCCCTCCACGTCCTCTTCGCCGAGGCCCTGGACGCCGACCGCGACCTCGAGCGCCGCCGCGCCACGGACCCCGTCGACGACCACGCGCCCCGGGGCATCAGGAAACAGGGCCTCGCGCTGCCCTCGTCGCGGCCGCGGGCCGACGCGTCGGGGGGCGGAGAAACAAGAAACACCGACCCCCTCCGGGGGCGGTTGAAGGCAACCGATGGCCAGTTGGAATAAACAATTTGGGGGCACAAAGAGCGCGGGGCAGAGAAGGGGGGGGAGGGATAGGCGAAGAATTACCATAACAGAAACGGACGGGGAAAAAAAGGGAACCGGCGCCGCCTTATAGGGGAAAGGGAAGGAGTGAAACCCCCTCAAAGGCCCGGT